AAAATATCAATTATTTACTTTTTACCCGATTTTTTAAAATTATAAATAGATAATGAAATTTCAATATTTTTGTTTTAATTAATATAATCATATTTTACAACATCATACTACTGATACCTATTGGTTTAAATCACTGCAGGTAGTAACATAATAGCATGTGGGTAAATAAATATAACAGGCGTGGCTTGTATAACGATAACAAAAATGATAACGATAAGGTATAAGTATAAAATAAGAAAGTATGAGTAGGGTATAGTACGGCTATGTAATTCCAATATCACATTTTCGTGCATTTTCTAACGTTCATACAAAAATTTATTAAAAGCATTACTCACCTCTTCGTTCAACTTGTTCTTCGAAGCCATTTTCACTAACTGTCGTGCTCAGCTCAGGTGTTTGCTAACAATAATATAAAGGCAGGCAGTATTTTCTTCCAATTTCAAATAATTTTTAACCACAACTGTGTCAGCTTACGAAAATAATTTAAATATAATTTAACACTTCACATATTATTATTTTATTAGTTAAAACATATTATTGTTTACAACTGTTTTACTATGGTTGGCAGTTATTCCTTAAAAACCAAAACAAACCAAATACGAAATTGGAAAGGTGTGTTCGGGTCAACGTACACCCTATGTAATTGTGCCACCTGTTGCATTCAAATTCAGGTAGCGTATTGTGTGGTATACTAGTATAATACTATATAAATGTATAACTCTAATCATATAAAAAAACAATAATAGAAGCTTTATGTAACATTTTCCCCGGAAAAAAATATCTGCCAGCTTTTCGGCTTATAAATATTTTTCAAGGTGCGCCATTACTCCCTAGCACCCATGAATGTCATATTAATGAATGTACCTTTTCTACTTTGTTTTTGAGAGTACTTTTATCTTATCTATGGTCCTTTATTTAGTGTGTAGCTAGCTGTTATCTATGATGTGTAGTAAATTGCCTGAAATATAACAATTTTAAAAAATGCAAGAAAAAGTTAATTATTTATAATCACTATCAAAATATTGCTGTACTAATTTGTATATCAGGTATTTACGAAATCGGGAATGAGTAAGGTTCATTTTGAATTAATCATTTACATTGTGCTCTGGATATGCGGAGTTTTATATTCTATCTACAAATTTTCAAGAAACAATTATGGTTTGTGGTGCTGTTTAGTTTATTTTGATTAGTTTCCTTACATTAGAATTAGTTTTCAGTTATATTCCTGATAATCATGGTGATTTTAAAAGTTCATATTACCTAACCATAAAAAGAGATGCTACAGATTATGAATGGGAAACGATGACTTTATTGATTTATATATCATTACCATGGATAGGAGCTCATATCTTAATATCAGAGTTTTTGAGGGAAAAATGTGAAAAGGTAGTCATTTAATATTATTCTTATCAGAGCCAGGTTTGAAAAATTGTTGCAGGTGCTACCATATTGGCAATCAATCATTGGATTAAGTTTTCTCACATATATGACAACTCTTCAAGGATCATTTCTAGTTGCATCTCAGTTAATATTGTTTGAGCTAATTAGCAAATTTGGAACCATTATTTTAATATGGACTACCTGTTTAGGGTATTTAGCAGCAATTTGTTTTTTCAAGACATTTGATCAAACTTTTGGATATCAGTATTTAAGGATTAATGAATGGCAGCACTTTCTGTTAATCCTCTCCCTTTGCTGGATGAATTTAAGATGCATAAGTTTCTATATTGAAACAATAAAATGTAAGAAAAATAACGAAAGTAATTTGTTAAGAATTTTTTCTTATTGTTTTTATCTTCCAAATTTGTTTTGTGGACCGTTCGTCCATTATGAAGAAATGCTCCAGAGTCATAATAAAAGTACTGTTAATTTGAGGACAAGACTGCTAATCCTTGCTAAAGACCTATTACGAGTGGCCTGGTGGTGCCTTTTTACACACCTCTCTCTATATTTTTTATATGCAAGTGCCTTCTCACTAAATCCAAAGGTTAGTTTTTTTTATTTCTGAGAATTGTAATGTCTTGCAACTTACAATTTAAGAATTCAAAAATTCTTTATGGTACTGTATTTTAACAAAAGTATGTATTACATTTTCAGTTAGTTAAAAAATTTAATAGTTGGGCATTATATGGATATGGGTATTGGATGGGTCAGTTTTTTCACCTGAAATATGTGGTATTTTATGGGTTTAGTACCAGCATTGCTAAATTTGAAAACGTTCCTGTGCCCCCTCTTCCCAAGTGTATTGGTCGAATTCATTTATATTCTGATATGTGGAAGTACTTTGATAGAGGCCTCCACAGTTTTTTAGTAAAGTGAGTAATAAATCAAACTAAGGATGGCAATTGATTGTGAGGTACATTTTTTAGGTACATCTATGTGCCCACATTGACAGAAAAAAGTTTTATTGGAAAAACGTTGTCCAGTTTCTTATGTTTTGTATTTGTTTACATTTGGCATGGAGTCCAAGAATTTATTTTAGTGTGGGCAATTTTAAATTTTATTGGAGTCACGATGGAATCTGGTTTTAAAAGTTTGTGCCTGCATTACGAACATGTAATCAAAATTTTGAATTCTCGGTGGCAACGTAGATTTGTTTGTCTGCTTGCAAGTCCTCTGTTAGCCGTGTCTTGTGTGTCTAACTTCTATTTTTTTGCTGGAATGAATATAGGAAACATTTTTGCAGATAGATTGTTTAATGGTGAGTGAAAAATATCAATTATTTACTTAACTGAGTTAAAAAGGAACATCTGAATTCATTTGAATTTTTCGCAGTTTTTACCTCGTATATGTTTCAAAAAAAGACTTATTAATTAATGAAAATTATTCTTCGGTGTTATAATTTAATGAATAGGCACGGTTTTCTTTATAAAAATAAACTTACCATTCAAAATTAATAGAAAGCTGCTATTTAATGAGTTAACTAGTGAAATTACTACATTCATGAGATATGAAATATTTTAGATTCCTTATGGAACGAAGCTGTATTATTTTTCATGTTATACTGCTGCTGTCAAGTTTCAACAGAAATTAATATTTGGGAGAAAAGTTTTATGAAAACTTTGAGGAAACCAAGCGGTAGAAACTACGGAAAAACTCATCTATAATAACAGTATTATTTTAATATTGAAAAAATAATATAATAGTAAAAAAACAATGATTGATTCTATTCTTATGCTAAAGTAAATCAATATACGCCATGCTATCGGTTATTTTCTGCGATTTTGTATGGTAACGTTTTTGGTGCGGTTCGGTGAGCATTTTGTAATTCTAAAGCTTTTTTCTTTTTATTAATTTCCAGTCTTTTAAGGGCTTCTAATCTGTTACGTTCGATTATTTCTTGCTTTCTCTTTGCTTCTCGTTTTGCTAAAGCCTGTAATCTTTTTTGTTCGATTTCTTCTGGTGAACATTTTATTGGAGATGTTTCGTCCACTGGTGTTGCTAAAATTATACTTGAGTCACATTTACGATTTTTAGCTTTGTCTAGGGGAAAAATACGCATACAGAGTGGTGTTTTTCTTTTGGTTTCTAGTTTCGTCAAAGCTTCTTTCCGTTTCCTTTCTATTTCATCTAAAGTCTTTTTGGAGAGTGATTCTGAAACAAACAATTTATAATTAAAATTTATCCTTTAATACCAACTATTGCTGTTACTGCTTTCGGTCGTAACTAGCTGGGTGATAGATAAACAGACAAACAAACGAAGACTATAACATTATTACAAGTAATTGTTTTACCACCTTGTGTGCTAGATCCAGCTTGTAAGAAAGAATCGTCAAATGATGCTGTTTTCCTGAATTGGGGACTCTTTGGTAAATGTTTAATGCCAGTTTCCAGGCATTTGCCTTTTTGATTAAAACAGTCTTGTTTTGTCTTTGACTGTTCGATTTGTTGCGGCAAGCATTTTATTAGAGAATTTTTATCGATTGGGATGTCTAAAATACACATCAAATCACACACGTTATTTAAAAATATGTTTAAGGGAAAATACACATACGAAGTGATGTCTTTTTCTTAGCTTCTAGTTTTGCCAAAGCCTCTTTCCGATTCTTTTCTATTTCTTCTAAGGTCTCTTTCGAAAGCGATTCTAAAACAAAAATAATTTATAACAGAAAATTTTATAATTCAAGAATTTAGAAATTATTAATAAATTCCTAGGATGGTGAAATCATTGTGAAGCTGAACAATACAATATTATTAATTCGGCCGAAATAATTGTCGAGTTGTTTTAATAATAATCAGAAGTTAATGAACACATAAATAAGCACGCTATCGAATTTACTGTTTATAAACTAGGTAATTATATCCAGTACCGTAAAACATATCACCTTGTCTCCTAGATCCAGCTTTTAAGAAGGAATCATCAAATGAAGTTGTTTTTTTGAATTGAGGACTTTTTTGTAAATGTTCTATGCCAGTTTCCAAACATTTACTTCTCTCCTTAAAACAATCTTGTGTTGCCTTTGGTTGTTCGATTTTTCTCGGTGAGCATTTTATTAAAGAATTTTTATCAACTGGGGTAGCTAAAAGTACATATAAAATCACAATTATGTTTTTAACAATTAATTCAAGGGAAAATACACATACCAAGTGATGTCTTTTTTTTGGCTTCTAGTTTTGCCAATGCTTCTTTCCGTTTCCTTTCTATTTCTTCTAAGGCCTCTTTTGAAAGTGATTCTAAAACAAAAAATAATTGACAGAAAATGTTATGCTTTTTCATAAATTATGAATAAATTCCGAAGGTCAGATGGTAAAACGCTTGTTTATGTTTTCATTGCCTTATTATTATTAGTAAAACAAGTCAACGACTGCTTCGACGAGGGGGGCCATTATTAAGAGTAAACGAATTAACAATACTGTTTGTTAATTGGTTTATTCTTCGTAATGGCCTAAATGATTATTGAGTTGCTTTAATAATAATAAAAAGTTAGTAAAAACATAAACAAGTGTGTTACTGAGTTTACTGTTTATAAATTATTTATGTAATTATTTTAATTTACTTCAAAACGTACCACTTTGTCTGCTAGATTCTGCTTTTGAGAAGGAATCATCAAATGAAATTGCTTTCCTAAATTGAGAACTCTTTTGTAAATGTTCAATATCAGTTCCCAAACATTTACCCTTTTCATTGAAACAATTTTGTATTGTTTTTGACTGTTCGATTTTTTCCGGTGAACATTTTTTTAGAAATGTCTCATTAGCTGGGGTTGCTACAATTATACATCAAATTACAATTAACGATATATTTAAGGGAACAATGCAATACATAGTGGTACTTTTCTTTTGGCTTCTAATTTTGCTAAAGCTTCTTTCCGCTTTCTTTCTATCTCTTCTAAGGCTGCCTTTGAAAGTGATTCTAAAACAAGACCAGTTTATAAGACAGAAAAATTTGGGCTTTAAGGATTTATAAATTATTTAAGTTTAAGTTTTATTTCCAATGCTAGTTTCCAATTATTTACCTTTGTCATTAAAACAATGTTGTGCTGTTTTTGACTGGTGAATATTCACTTCATTTAAAAGATCCATCTCATCATTTTCAAAAGCAGCTAACGCTAAGTTAAATGAATCATCTATAGGTTTGTCAACTTTATTTTCTGAATTATCAGATTTGGACTTAGCTATATCAAAAATACCTGAAATTTAATTCATTAGTAAATAAGCACTACATCTTTCTCTGTAAAAAGTACACCTTTTATGGATACTGATTGAGCTTTATTACTGGACTTAAAGTTAAACTTTTTTGCTTTTGAAACCTCCACATTTATACTATTTGTGATCCTTGTCTCTTTTTGTGCAATATCATTAATTTCAATATTAGTGTTTTTTGTGGTATTATTATTTGAACCACTCCATAACTTCTTTATTTCACACTCATTAGTTTTTATTTTGGTGTTTTCTGATGGCACAATCAAATAATTTTCAACTTTTTGACCACATAAAATCAACTGCTCTTCAAATGAATCATCATTAAAAAGCTCTTCTAATTCGGGGATATCTTCCATTAAGTGGTTATGAGAATTGATTTGCCTACTTGTTGAGTGATCAAAATCAATGTATGAAGAATTAATGGGTTTTTCATTCTTCTCTGCATTTATTTCTTCTTTGAGTGCATCTAATTTCTTTTTAAGTTGATCAAATGTGGGTAAATTATTACCAGAGGGAGTTTTTTTTAAAGGAGGTTTTTCTTGTTCAGGGGCATGTTGTCGTTTTCCTCTTCTCATGTTAGTTTTGGCCCGAGGCGAATTCCAATCCCAAATAACATCCACATCATAATTATCACTTGTACATTGGGATAAAATTGGGCTATAGTCAAAAGAGAGGTCACTTCTTGATGCACAGTTTAATTGCATCGGTGATTCACTATCTGCATTTGTTTTTAAGAATGAGTATGTTTTGGTTCATTAGTATTAAAAACTAATCACAAAATAGTAATTACCTGCAGGTTTAGCTGGGTTGTTTGGATATTTATTGTGCTTTGCTTTTGGAGTTTTGTCCATCTTTCAATACCACAAAAATATCAAGCATTCGTATTTATACAAAACAGTAAAATCCTTGTAAATAAACGATTTCTTCTAATTCTAACCTTCTTAACCTTAATGTTATGATCTATTAAGACCATAGATAATAGATACACAAAGGGTAATGACTTAAACACCGTTGTGACCATAGACGACAAATTAATTAAACGCTGGTCAAAAATTCATGCATTAGTTATCTATTGGCACGTACCATCCTTACTCTATAATTCTTATTTATGGCACTATCTCATCTATGGGCATGCACTGTACCACTGATAGTATATGGATAGTATATTTTTCATCTATTATCTATGTTTTTCGTGATATTTTTCTTCAATCTGTGTACTGTACAAATAACCTAGTTTGCTATTTGTTATTAATGTTATTAATTAAAGTTCGTGTTTTGTGAAAATTGTCGTTTCTGTAAAAACTACTTACTGTTTTGGTTGTCTTAGATTATGTAGAAACAATAATGATAAAATTTCAACTAACCGACAGTTTTGTTGGAAATGTCCAGAATTTTAGGACCAAAAATGGGAAGAGCAGAAGCCTTGTGCAACCAATCTCTTTTAGAAGCTGGAGATCGTCCTTTAGAACGTACTTTAACCGACACAGGAGATGTGAAAACTCAATTTGTTACCCGAGAAGGTGTGTACCGTCTGTTAACATTAAGTGAATATTCGCGGCCAAACCGTGTTGGATATCAATCTCAGGGACAGTCTCAGCCCCAAGTGCGAGTTTCATTAGTGACACTTCCTGATCAAGGTGAGCGTATTTGTTTCAATCACGGACGAGAAATTTACGTGTATGTATATAAAGGCATTAAAAAGGCAGCAGATTTAAGTAAGCCTTTGGATAAGAAAGTGTATAAAGGTACAAATCCTACATGTCATGACTTTAACTCAGTCTCAGCGACTACCGAGAGTGTTAATTTACTTATAGGATTTAGTACTGGTCAAATACAATTAATAGATCCTATTAAAAAGGAGCTGAATAAATTATTCAATGAAGAAAGACTGATTGATAAAACCAGAGTGACATGTTTAAGATGGGTTCCAGGCAGTCGTTCTCTTTTCCTTGCTGCTCATGCATCAGGACAGTTGTATGTTTATAATGAAGAATTGCCTTGTGGTTCAACAACACCACATTATATGCCTTTCAAATCAGGTGAAGGTATGCAAAATATTTACATTGAATTAAATGATTATAATTAAGTGTAGACTGCAAGTATACAACTTGATATATAGTTTCTTAATATGCATTTAAGTAAAGGGAATATGAGTACCTATTAGAAATTGAATAATTATACAACTTCCCTTTGGTTCCCCATTTTATATCTTTTTTTTTTTTCTAAATGAAATGTTTGGAGAACTTACATATGATTGTTTTATTAATTCTTTTAAAAGGGAAAAAAACAAAAGTCATTTAAAAAGAGTGCAAATCAATTGTATCATAAAACATGTGTATTTCAGATTCTCATTGAAAGATACATAAAAGTTGAAGCCAGGAAGATAACGTTTTATGTCATCTTTGAAACTATGTATTTGACTTTACATTTTATTCTATTAACAAGTCTTAAATGTCTATTTTATTGATAAGCAGTTCGTAGTAGAATAACATGTGGTTAATTTGTGTGTAGGGTTCACGATAAGCACGTGCAAAACAAAATCTACACGTAATCCACTATTTCGATGGCTTTTGGGTAGTGGTTCTGCAATTAACGAGATCGCATTTGGACCGGATGGAACTCAACTTGCTGTGGTGTCCCAAGATGGTCAAATGCGCGTTTTCCAATATGATAACATGGAATTATTAGGAACAGCTCGTTCTTACTTTGGTGGTCTTTTATGTGTTGCGTGGTCAGGTGATGGACGTCTTATAGCCGCAGGGGGCGAGGACGATCTTGTGACTGTTTATAGCATAGAACAGAAACGTGTAGTGGCCCGTGCACAAGGCCACCGTTCATGGGTGTCGGCCGTTGCCTTCGATGTGCATTTAGAAATGGATGGGTGCTATCGTCTCGGTTCTGTGGGCCATGACACGCAACTGTGTCTTTGGGAAATCCCTGAGGAGTGTTTGATGCCCAGTAAACCGCGTACGACTAAACGAAAACCTGATCCTTTGCAACTAGTTGGAACACCCAGTTGTCCAAGACTGGACGAATGTCCGATATTAGAGACGTTGGTGTGCAAAAAAATTGCTCACGAAAGACTTACGGCGCTCGCATTTCGATCGGATTGTATCGTAACTGCTTGTCAAGATGGGTATGTTTATACTTGGGCCAGACCTCCGTCGTAACACCCACATTAAGTGCCACTGATCCTGTTTACTACGTAATGCTTATGTAAGAAGTTTTATTTCCTATTTCCTTCTGGTAATTGCTCGTCCTTTCAATGGACACTATGATTTTAAAAGCATTCATGCCTAACTTATTCCAGTCACTATTTATTTATATTATTATATTTAAATTTTATACCCTCTTTCAGTTAAAACAAGTGCATCGTTTTCTTATCGTTTTTATCTTCTTTGTCTTATTAATTTGCATTTAATACTTATCGAGTGTTTGTTCAAGAAATAGTTTCACCAATAAAATTGAAATTAAAATTATTACCACCTAATTTACTTCCACATATAAAAATATACATAATTTTTTTATCGCGAAATTTAAGGTACCTTTTACATACATAAATTAAAATTGGTGTGTTTTATATTTTTACTTTTTTAGTAACAAACTATGTTTATTAACGATATAATATTGCTTTCACATACATTAGTTGGTATTTAGTATTCAGTGATACAAAAATGCAAAATAATGAGCAGTTAAAACCAAGAACGTGGTAACTTAGGCCGTTGTCCACTCAATGAGGCTACAATCTTCCCAAACAAATTTTCCCTTGAGACCGTGATTTTCAAGAGCAAGGTATAATGACGAACGGGCCCCTTCCTCAACAGTTAGAGGACCTTTGTGGCTTGTCATGTCAGTATCAACATATCCAGGATGACAGCAATTGACAGAAATATTTCTTGAAGGTGTTTCTGCATCAAACTCTCGCTGTTGTATAAATGTTAAAGCAGAAAGGCCCACCTTAGAGACTACATAAGTAGAATTGCCCCATGTGTTAGAAATGTCAGCTCCTTCCTTAGCCAATCTAATGTTAAGTTACTATATAAAAAGAAAAATATTTATAAGTAACAATACTTACCTAACGAATTCCTGCATTAACTCATTAAGTTTAGGTACTGTTAATTTTGAATCTTTGAATTTGTCTCGAATATCAGAAGATGGAATTCGTGAAAGTCGTCCAGCAGAGCTTGATAAGTTAATAACTCTGGCATTTTGACGTAAGATGGGGAATAAAACATTGCAAACCTCTAATGTAGCAAAGTAATTTACTTTGATAGTATTTTCTGCTTGTTCTCCAAAAGGTTCTGTGGCATCTGTCTGCAATCAGTTACATTTGCATAGCAAATCATTTGCAGTTTAAACTGTTTTGCATCTCACCTTGTAAGCAATTGCTGCATTATTGATTAATAAGTCAATACCACCATGTTCTCGAACAATGTCATCCCTTAATTTTTTTATGCTTTCTTTACTTGTAATATCCAACTGGTGAAACAACGGTTTAAAACCGAGTTCATTCAGTTTTTTAACTGCAGCCTCGCCTCTACCAACATCTCTAGCTGTTAAATATACCAAACCATCATATTTCTCACATAAACCTTTTACAATGGCGTAACCTATACCTTTATTACTACCAGTTACCTAAAGTTATTGATTTTTTTTACTTATACATACTTATAAATAACATGGAATAATTATTTTTTAACTTACCACAGCAATTTTTTTCAATGGTGTTGACATTTTGTTATATCTTTTTTTTTTTTCTAAATGAAATGTTTGGAGAACTTACATATGATTGTTTTATTAATTCTTTTAAAAGGGAAAAAAACAAAAGTCATTTAAAAAGAGTGCAAATCAATTGTATCATAAAACATGTGTATTTCAGATTCTCATTGAAAGATACATAAAAGTTGAAGCCAGGAAGATAACGTTTTATGTCATCTTTGAAACTATGTATTTGACTTTACATTTTATTCTATTAACAAGTCTTAAATGTCTATTTTATTGATAAGCAGTTCGTAGTAGAATAACATGTGGTTAATTTGTGTGTAGGGTTCACGATAAGCACGTGCAAAACAAAATCTACACGTAATCCACTATTTCGATGGCTTTTGGGTAGTGGTTCTGCAATTAACGAGATCGCATTTGGACCGGATGGAACTCAACTTGCTGTGGTGTCCCAAGATGGTCAAATGCGCGTTTTCCAATATGATAACATGGAATTATTAGGAACAGCTCGTTCTTACTTTGGTGGTCTTTTATGTGTTGCGTGGTCAGGTGATGGACGTCTTATAGCCGCAGGGGGCGAGGACGATCTTGTGACTGTTTATAGCATAGAACAGAAACGTGTAGTGGCCCGTGCACAAGGCCACCGTTCATGGGTGTCGGCCGTTGCCTTCGATGTGCATTTAGAAATGGATGGGTGCTATCGTCTCGGTTCTGTGGGCCATGACACGCAACTGTGTCTTTGGGAAATCCCTGAGGAGTGTTTGATGCCCAGTAAACCGCGTACGACTAAACGAAAACCTGATCCTTTGCAACTAGTTGGAACACCCAGTTGTCCAAGACTGGACGAATGTCCGATATTAGAGACGTTGGTGTGCAAAAAAATTGCTCACGAAAGACTTACGGCGCTCGCATTTCGATCGGATTGTATCGTAACTGCTTGTCAAGATGGGTATGTTTATACTTGGGCCAGACCTCCGTCGTAACACCCACATTAAGTGCCACTGATCCTGTTTACTACGTAATGCTTATGTAAGAAGTTTTATTTCCTATTTCCTTCTGGTAATTGCTCGTCCTTTCAATGGACACTATGATTTTAAAAGCATTCATGCCTAACTTATTCCAGTCACTATTTATTTATATTATTATATTTAAATTTTATACCCTCTTTCAGTTAAAACAAGTGCATCGTTTTCTTATCGTTTTTATCTTCTTTGTCTTATTAATTTGCATTTAATACTTATCGAGTGTTTGTTCAAGAAATAGTTTCACCAATAAAATTGAAATTAAAATTATTACCACCTAATTTACTTCCACATATAAAAATATACATAATTTTTTTATCGCGAAATTTAAGGTACCTTTTACATACATAAATTAAAATTGGTGTGTTTTATATTTTTACTTTTTTAGTAACAAACTATGTTTATTAACGATATAATATTGCTTTCACATACATTAGTTGGTATTTAGTATTCAGTGATACAAAAATGCAAAATAATGAGCAGTTAAAACCAAGAACGTGGTAACTTAGGCCGTTGTCCACTCAATGAGGCTACAATCTTCCCAAACNGAAATAAAAATAACTAACAAGTGTTTTATACTTTCATTACAAATCAAACTTGCTCCAGTAGTATATGCTTTAAGACTGTATCATTTAGGGATCTTTTTTATCATAATTGGTAGAAGTTTTGAATTTGAAATTTCAACAACTTTTTGAAAATTGAATTAAGCAATTCGACTTTTTTCATATATTCATTTATTTAACATTACAGAAATGCAAAATACAATTTAATGTGTAGTTTAATAGTTTAGTAATTTAGGCTGTTGTCCATTCAATGACGCTACAATCTTCCCAAACAAATTTTCCCTTGAGGCCGTGATTTTCAAGAGCGAGGTATAATGATGACCGGGCCCCTTCCTCAATAGTCAGAGGACCATCATGTCTCGTCAGGTCTGTATTAACACGCCCAGGGTGGCAGCAATTAACAAAAATATTTCTTGAAGGTGTTTCTGCATCAAACTCTCGCTGTTGTATAAATGTTAAAGCAGAAAGGCCCACCTTAGAGACTACATAAGTAGAATTGCCCCATGTGTTAGAAATGTCAGCTCCTTCCTTAGCCAATCTAATGTTAAGTTACTATATAAAAAGAAAAATATTTATAAGTAACAATACTTACCTAACGAATTCCTGCATTAACTCATTAAGTTTAGGTACTGTTAATTTTGAATCTTTGAATTTGTCTCGAATATCAGAAGATGGAATTCGTGAAAGTCGTCCAGCAGAGCTTGATAAGTTAATAACTCTGGCATTTTGACGTAAGATGGGGAATAAAACATTGCAAACCTCTAATGTAGCAAAGTAATTTACTTTGATAGTATTTTCTGCTTGTTCTCCAAAAGGTTCTGTGGCATCTGTCTGCAATCAGTTACATTTGCATAGCAAATCATTTGCAGTTTAAACTGTTTTGCATCTCACCTTGTAAGCAATTGCTGCATTATTGATTAATAAGTCAATACCACCATGTTCTCGAACAATGTCATCCCTTAATTTTTTTATGCTTTCTTTACTTGTAATATCCAACTGGTGAAACAACGGTTTAAAACCGAGTTCATTCAGTTTTTTAACTGCAGCCTCGCCTCTACCAACATCTCTAGCTGTTAAATATACCAAACCATCATATTTCTCACATAAACCTTTTACAATGGCGTAACCTATACCTTTATTACTACCAGTTACCTAAAGTTATTGATTTTTTTTACTTATACATACTTATAAATAACATGGAATAATTATTTTTTAACTTACCACAGCAATTTTTTTCAATGGTGTTGACATTTTGCTAAATAATTTTTAAAACAAAATAATGTAATTGTGTTCTACTTTGAGCGTTTGATGGAAATTAATGCTTATTGTTAGATTGTAAGTCGCTTTTATAGTGACATGATAGTGACCTATCAAGAATAAATAAAATAGAAATTGATAACCAGTCAAGAAAACCGCACAAACAACGTTTCTAACAACATTCGGAAGAAAACAAGTACCTATAACAATAACATAAGTAAAGATAACGTTTACCAATTTTTTTTATAAAAGAATGGGATAACTTTTTCAATATATCTCTCATTTACTAGGTATATAATAGCAATGTATATAGAACAAAAACACTAAATCGAAAAGGACTGCTTGCTCCCATTGGAGGTAATTGAACCTGTTCGAGTACCTCGTATTGTTAAAATAATATAAACGTCTATCAAACTAGTACTTTTATTTTATTTATTATATAGACATACAATATCTTTATAAACTATATATTTCCATATAATCATATATTACTAAAGAGCTAAATTATAAAATTATAATTGTTATTAAATAATTATTATATTGTTATGCCAACAATAGTATTTCCTTTTCATATAATACATGTCTATTACATTTCTATTTATAGAACATTCTATTATAGAGTATTATACAGTGTTCGTAACACTAATTTCGTGACTCACTACACGTAGGTAATCCTATTTCTGTGCTCAATAATCTTTTTAATGTCCTCTATTAATTCCGAGGGCAATTCTAAAATATCACAATCATCTGCATTTCTTAAAAATCTTGAAACTTGTAATAAAGTTTGAAGTTTCAAACTGTGCATAGGCAATGTAATTTTAATAAGTATACGAGAGCGTTCTGGACAATTTCGATCAGGAAACCGTTCCTGCCATGATAAAGGATAATATGTGAAATTACCATCTATCAGAAGTCTTTCTTTTGTCTCATAATCAAATGCTATCCATGGATGTGTCTTATATGTAGTAATGTCCATATAGTTCATTCGTCTAAGTAGTCCATATTTCACATACTCTCCATTAAAATTAATCCAAACAAGTTCCACGTTACGTGCGCTAAAGTTAACAAAACGAACGTTAACTGGGTAACGACTAGTTTGAGATCGATGTCTTTCATTATTAGTAACTTCCATTGCAATACAACTTCCACTAACTTGTCCACTAATATTTGATCAAACCCGGTATACTACACGTTACTAACACCGAATTTTTATCGCACTGGTATACTAATCCTAAGAAAAATGGCGGTCTGTGCAGCAATAGTTGGAAAAGATGTAAGAACGCTCGTATTCTTTCTTTCTAATTAATTTATTAATCACCAAATCAAATTTAACAAAAAATAATATTTAATTAGTATCGTTACACTACATACTTGAAACTGTTTTTGTGCTTCGCGGGTACAGTAGTACATTGTAGTACGTTGTACTATTGCATCAAAATAATAAATATAGTTCTACCACTTCAATAAAAACATTGTATATGTTGTAGAACTCCCCGAAATATTTTGCTTGCACAAATCCCGACGAAGAACTTAATTTTCAGTACAAAGTTCTGTCATCATTAGATGTTGTGGAAGAGAAACTAAATGCTGCTAATAAAGGATCGGATATGAGAGAGTTATACTTAGGAATTTTATATTCTCTGGAAACTCATAAAATGTAAACAAAAAGTTTTATTTAAGAATGTATTTTTAATTTTACGCATTTTAGATACGGTTACGTCACCAACACGAAAATAAAATTTATTATAGTAGCAGAATCAACTAATACAGCACTTAGGGATAATGAAATTAGATCAGTATGTAAAAAAAAATTATTAACAAGCTACTTTTAAAATTTAAAAAAAAATATCAATTTCAGATGTTCAGAAAACTACACTCCTTGT